GATGTTAAGACAACCTTCTCACAAGCGGATTCAAATATGTTTGATAAAGATGATGTGTTGGATATCCCATAAGCGTCATGAACTTTTTCTTGAATAGTTTGTTTTGAGTTTTGACTTTTAGTAAATGAAATATAGTCTTGTCTTTTATTTTTAACTATTTATTGAGATATATTAGAACCGACAAGATTTTTTTTAACTTGTAAATATTTATCTTCTTTTAGTTTAGAACTTAAAGAAAAAATATAAAATTATATTTTAAAAAATAATAGGCCGGCCCATGGGGGCTCTTAGCTCATATAAGGCTGGGTGGGCCGATCATTATAAGGCTAATCAAAATGGTGGGCTAGCCCAGCCCAGTCCTCAATTGCTAAAGCCCTTGTGGGTTGGGCTTGGCTACTTGCTAAGCCGTAAAAATTGCACGGGACGCCCAAATATTTGGTCGCCCCCATTTAACCTATACCCATTTTTTTTAAAACTTTTAACTTGTACCCACTTTTTAACAACTTCAGCCCCTTTCTCCTCCTTCTCCTCCTCAAAGTTATATCCGCCTCTTCTTTCTCAAACTTCTCCTTCTCCCTTTTCTGCAAAAGCAAGGTATCAAGCAGATCGCATGAGGTTATAGATAATCCTTAATAAAAAGGACTAAGAGATAACAACAAAGATCCGAGTTGATATACAGTGTTCTAACACTGTGGTTGCACCATTTCTAGCTAGAGAATGATACACGAGATATTTGCAGTAGTTGTGTTAGTTGGATATGAGACAAAGGAGATTGCAGATAATATTATGAAGTTTTTCTCTGGTTCAGTGACACTCTATAGTAGAACATAAAACTCTGCTATTTCTAGACCAAGACCTTATCTTGTACCTTGTACCTGTCAGGAGATCATCCACCTCTTTCCACTGACGTTGCCACTCATACACTTTCAAGTATCCGTTAGACTCCAGTTTCATATATTTAAAGCGGACGATAACATAAAAAGCTTATTTTTCCAGAAAAAAATTCAGCTCTAGAGCTGAAGTTCGCCAGTTACAAACAAAAACTTCAGCTCTAGAGCTGAAGTTCGACAGTTACAAAACAAAAACTTCAGCTCTAGAACTGAAGCTTACAAACAAAAATTTCGCCAGTTACAAACAAAAACTTCACTCTAGAGCTGAAGTTCGACAGTTACAAAACAAAAACTTTAGCTCTAGAGCTGAACTTCAGGCCCGGCTATTAAAATGCTGAAGTTTTGCGTGATTGCCTTTGCTACTTCAGCCCCGTATGTTGAAGTTATGCGAAAAAGCGGGTACACTTGTAATTTTTTTTACAAAGCGAGCACAAATTAAAACATCACACAAAAAACGGATATAGATGCAAATGCCCCTGCTAAGCCTAACTTCATACCCGAAGGTTTAGGCTATGAAGTCAGTACCAATTTGCTCAGTTTGGCTCTGCCAAGACTAACTTCATACCCGAATGTTTGTGCATGAAGTTAAGCTTTGGCAGTGTCCAACTTAAAGTTCGTAGGTCTTGATTCAAACTTTGGTCTTTTAAACTTCATGGCTCAGCCCAACTTAAGACTCGTTGCTTTGTCACTTTTTTTTAGAGTTCTCATCTCGAGTCGATCTTATTTAATGGATTGTATCGCACGTGATATTTGTTTCAATTTTGTAAAGTGTCAGAATCTAACTTATTCTGACACTTTAAGACTCCTTTCTTCTTATATATATATATATTCAGGGACAGATCCAGTGCATTAGTTACGGGTTTCCGTGAACCAAGTAACTTTTGTCTAGATTCTGTATTTGTATTGAAAAATTCATTAAATGTATAAGAATATTTAGCTTGGATCCCAATCCGTTAATCCATTTATTATTGTATATTAACTTGAGATTTCTGTAGGTACTTTTAAACTTAAAATCATGAATCCGCCGATGTATATATTATATTACAAGCAGTGCACGTCCTAGTGTTAAGGATATCAAACTACTGAACTCCAAGTGAAGTTCTAAATATAAGATCTAAATCACAATCTTGTAGTATAAAGTTCTAGGTTGGGAGAGGCGTAGTAGTTGTAGCTGTAATATAAAGTTCCAGGATTTAATCTTTCTCCTAACCTTTAATGCCAATATACTAACGCCATGTCATTCATACTAATGCAAAATGACTAGATAATTAATATCTCATTCAGAGGCGTATTCAAGTCGAAGGATATTTGATTCATGTGAATCCACATTATGTATAATAATCCGCCTCTTCACAATAGTATATTCATTCTCTTGAAATTTTGGACCCACCTATGATCTCATAGAGATAGACATATAGGTCAAAATGAAAAGTGTACAATAACTTTTCAACGTAGGTTATCAAAATTAAACAACACAGACGAAACAATGATATTATCATTAATAAGAAGTCCATTATCTCAAGTACAATATTCTATAGTAGTATCTAATCGAAACAATTTTGGGCCTCTTGATTTTTGGGGTCTAAAGTAAGAGTCGAGGGTCTTTCGGAAACAATCTTTCTATCTCTTTGGGGTAAGAATAAGATCTGCCTACACACTATCCTTCTCATACCTCATTAGTGAAATTTTATTAGGTCGTTGTTATTAGAAAAACTACCAGCTATGCCATTTATAAGTAGATTATTATAAAAATTTGTCAATTCATAAAATATTACTAATATTAGTCAAATATTACTAATATTAGCCAATTAGCTATTTGTAGCAAAAAAAAAATTGCTTTCTTTTGAGTGGGTGTTATTAGAATAGATTGGGTATATCTTAAGGCGCTTGAATCTCAATTTTGGGATGATTTGGTGAAGTTTTGAATTGAAAATTCGAAGTAAAAACTGAATATGAAAAAAATGATATGTGTATCATTTGTGTATCACATATGTATCAATTGTGTATAACATGCATATCCATGTATACCTGTCTGTGTGATACATGCGTGATACATTTGTCGCAGGAAAAAAAAATTGAACTCGATTTAATCACGAATTTTGATACAAAACCAGTTCAAATCACCTCCAATCTTCCTCAAATTTTGTATATTGACTTATCTATATGTTTTCAATNCCCTTCGGGGTAGGCGTGCAAAAAGGAGGTGTGACACCTTCCTTCAACAAAAGTAAAAACTCTCTTCTTTTTTCACAACTTTAACCTCAATTTATTGAAACACTCTACAATTATTTTTTCACACCACATTATGGAAGAAAGACTCCTATTTATAGGTGTAGGAATTCTTCCTTGATAAATTAGAAGAAAGTGGGGTTATAAGTTATGAAATCATGGAGAACATAGGATAAGGGTTAAATTATTATATAATTAGTGGTAGAACATGGGAGAAGAGTTACAAAAAAGTTATGACCATTTTCTATATCATAGAGTAGTAGGAGTTATGGTCATTTTCTACATCACGGAGTAGTGAGAGTTATGGCATATTTTATTTTAACAATAAAATGGTATTATTCATATCAGTAGTGTTAGTACGCACTCTCGCATTTGGTTGGTAGTAGGCTTTTTGCATTTCGATCATCTTGCTATCTTGTTATGTATGCTGCTTTTACATGGTTCTTTGGTGTTGTCCGGTCTTGTTTCTTGTTATTATTGGGGTACTTATGCTTGCTTGAGCCGAGAATCTACTGGAAACAACCTCTCTATCTCCACAAGGTAGGGGTAAGGTCTTCGTACACACTACCCTTCCCAGACCCGCACTATGTGGAATTATATTGGGTATGTTGTTATTGTTGTTGTTCTTTTTCTCTTTATTTTATTCTTTCTCTTCTTTTTCTTAAATTTCTTCTCCGGATGACAGGTGTAATGAATGCTAAAGCCCAGCCACCCATTTTCAAAAGGTTGGATGCTTTAAAGAACTTTGATTGCATCACTTCAACCTATAAATAATCAACATTACATTTTCAACATATCAAGCAAAAATGTCATTGAAATGAGTTTAGGAGATAGTTCAGAAAGCGGGTTTGGAAAGGTTGAATTTTACAAATGTAGATATTACCGAAAAAAATTGCATTCTCAAAATTTTTCTAAAAAGATGAACTGTAAGGGACTTTCCTAACACCAAAATATACTCGCCCAAAAGGTTCAACTTGTTTTGATCGTCTATTTTGGAGGTCCGATAGTACATATCCACCGGAATTAATGAAGGTCCGATGGCAAATCATATTCTAAAAGATAAAATCTTATCATTTTAGAAGAAGTCCTTATTTTCTCGTCTTATCATTTTGAAAAGACAAAATGTAATTTAAGTCTTGAAAAGGAGGTTGTTTAAGGCTGAGGATGAGTTTTCGCTCACCAAAGTCTCGATCTGGAATAGCATCTTATTCGAGCACAACCAGTGGTCCGATTTTTTTATTTCTAAATAGTAAAGATGGCAGGATAAAAAAGTGAAAAAGTAAGCAAAAATAAATCACATTTTAGAAGGGAAGTAAAAAGGAAAAATGACATGGAAAAATAAGTGGTGTGAGAGATGCACTACCCAGCGTCAAATATGATATTGGTCTCTTAGAGTAGTACTAGGGATAAGTTCAGGAGGGTTATAGGACCTCCACAAATTTAAAGTGTAGTTCAAAAAAAAAAAAAAAAAAAAAAAAAAAAGACAAGTTGGAGGGGTATTATGTATTATCCCTTTTAATGAAGTTCAATTTTCATGGCAATTTTCCTTAAGGCTGAGCTGAAGGTAGCACGATATTGTTATTAGTAAGACTTCATTTTTATCTCTAGGACATCTTATATCAACCAAGAAATTGGTTGTGCTGAGGTTTGAATAACAGAACATCCGTTTTCTTCACAATGATTCCTTTACGAGACCATATAGGATTTTCAAATATTCTTCTTGTTTTTTCCCACCAATCTCTTGGATGACACTCATTCAAGCTTTTTTTAATAGGAGAACAGCAAATTTTGTATCAAAACATGCAGTTATGCGCGCGGGGAGGGATGAGCAAACTTTAAGGTCTTCCCTGATGCCAACAGTCTTTTTTTTTAAAAAAAAAGTATTGCAGAAAAAATAGAAATCAATTAACCTGGTTACAACTCTACATCATCAGAAACTCCTCTGTAGAGCACCAAACGTATTCAGATGAAGTGCAAGAATCATATCTATACACTTCTCTGTTAAAAACACACCAGCTAGACAAAAAGTCTTTTCCGTGAATGATATCATAGACAAAAATGACTGAATTAAATCCATGCACCAAGAATGTCTTTATCGAGAATCCTTTCACTAAGTCATAATTCATCTTTCCACGTCTCTCTGGAGGATCATTAACCAAATGACAAATCCTCGTCTCTAGATGTCACATATCACAGTAACTTCAATGAGGTCTTCCAAGCAATCATAACAGCCTTTCTGGGTGCTCCAGATCTCCAAATTTGATTGTCAAGAGAGCTGCTCACAGTTGTATGTTCCAGACCCCTCCAGATTGATTTATCTGTACCCTCTGCAACAATGTGACCTGATGTGGATCTTCCAGGTCCCAGGCTGTTCCTCCATATGTGAGAGACACAAAAATACAGACCAATGACCAATTCCACATGCATCAAATTTCAGGGCAGATACAGCAGAAAATGCACCCCAAGACATTGAATATCATCTTATGGCAATTCATACAACTCTGAAATGTTCCTGGAGATCTGCATCAACTAAACTTGAGGCTGAGCCAATGGAAAAGTAAAAATCCTATGATTATTTCCTCGTAAAATTCTTCCCTTTGGCCTTTTGGCTTCTGGGGCATGGAGACAAATAACCACATAGGAACCATTCATGGTGTGATTAAAGAGGGTTGAGTCAAACCCCACAAGATTCATAGCCCAGGGCCAACACAACCTTGAATGATGAATATGGCTTCAGTAGGATTTGAATCTTTGGCATCATGCATTAAGCACTACAAGTTACCCACCACTTGGACCAACTCCTTGATTCTCTTGATGGGTATTTCCCTGGTACATTAAGTATCTGCTTTCTCGGATATACTATGAGAATAAGGTAAAAGCCTTATCACCATTACTTAAACAAATTCCTCCTCTAAGATGTTTGCCGGCTTGGAACACAGTGAAGCAGCATGCTCAGGAGACAATCAAGAAAAACCCATCAGCAGAATCTTGACATGTCATGCCCTCCAAGAATACTGAAACTGGCTTTGGTTCTGAGCACCTTTGTCATAGCATTACTTATGTTTCCAAAAATTTATCTGAGCACCAAGAAGTGCAGATTTGTTCAATAAAAGTGAAAAGTCCCTTGATCAGTCCCTCCCACTTCCTTCAAGTAACCTTACCCATCAATGAAACCTTTGCTTGTACAGAAGTCATGAGATTTTGAGACACGCCAATTAGAGCACATTGTAATCTTTACGAGCAGCTAATTCACATAAAGTTACACGGCTGCCATGTGAACATCATTGCTTCCTCTGGTCCGATCAAGTATAGACAAAGACTGTCTTGTTTGAAAGGATACTGCTTCACCAAAATAAAGATAATAGTCTAAATCAAAAAACCATAAAGATAGCATAGTGTGAAGAAACAACAAAAAAAAAAACATGAATTTTCAGGTTACCTGTAATGAGCGCCATTAGCACTGTTCGAACAGCATTGAAGCAATTGATAGCTTTAAACTCTATCAACAAATGTGGACACTAACAAACCTATTCATTCTATGACCTGGAAAGGCTCCAAAGATCCCCATGTCCTCCCAATCTTCAGTTTTACATGCAGTGGGACTGGCAGACAAAACCATAGGTTCTACAATAAGCACAAACTTCAAGAAGAATATCAATTATAACAGAGGGAAAAGTACAATAAAGAACAGCATAAGATCATTTAGTCCAAGGTTACGTCAATCAGAGGACCTTCCACAGCATTCCCCAACCAAGAAATCCTCCAGTTGGCAAACCTCGGATAAACTAGGACTTAAGATCCAGACAGGCATGTATTTAGTTTTATATGATCCCTTACCAAGAAGTGAAACAGCATTTTCCATGCTCATCTGCAACAGCAATCCAGCTTCCTTTGCAACAGAAGGATCGGCCTCAAGTACTAATTCATCGTGAACCTTAGCAATGTCCAAAGCAAGCGATCATATTCTAATCAAACAACCTCAATTGCAAATGTAAGCAAATTTCTTCAGGCAACTAAGAGGTAGATGAGATATTGACTTTTGTTGTCCTCCTATTAGAGATTCTAAGCACTTCCATAACCAGAAATCCGTGAAATTTGTCATAGCATCATTCAAACATTATAAATCAACCAACTATATGTTTCCTAACCAAACTAAACCATATTTCAGTTCATAGAAAACAAATAAAGAGATTGTAACAATATGAAAGTTCCTCCTCTGGCATTATTGTGATACATTTGATAAGCACACAATTTTACCAATCAACTACCTGTATCGGTGTAATAAAGAAAACATTTAGTTGAAACGATCAAATAAGTATATCAATTTTCCAATTTGAGTTCTTGAACTTTTAGGACTCTCATTGTAATACAACTCATAGAAGTGTGTCAAACATTCCGGGACATCCCAAATGAAGCAACCTAAATAGGAGTAGAGAGTAGTGACTGAGCAATTGAACCAAAATGTAAGCTGTTACTGTAAAAAGAATCCTGATTGTTTTATCCCTCTTTTTCTTTAGAGACAAACAAGTGCTTTCTGAGAGTACCAGAATGGACTGATTGGGGATGTGAATTTTCAGCCTCATAATTAAAAAACAGATAAAGAACCAAGTGAAACATTTTTCTGTCCAGGAAGAGAATACTCGAAAACTACCTGTAATATGATCCGGCAACGTCCTTTAAGCACATGAAACTTTTCATCAATCATAGAATTTGATGGAGACTTCTCAAAGTTATCAAGCACAGAATGGATGTTTATCATTGCAATCTTGATAATGTCTGCAGCTGACCCCTAATTACAGCAATAAAGACAAAAAAGGCAATGATAGAATGCAAAAACAGAAAGGGCAAATGATTGAGGAAGGGAAGGGGGCAGGAGAGTGGAAAAGAAAGCAAAACTACCTGGCAGATAGAATTCACAGCTTGCCTCTGAGCTTTAGACTTTTCCTTACTGTTTCCAAATTTTATTTTTGCCAAGAAGCGCTTTCGTCCCTTGAGAGTCTCTATATAACTGCATCACAAAAAGAAAGAGGGCAACATTTCAAGGAAATACCAATATAAAAGGCTGTATATGTAACGAAAAGTAATAACATGTGACTGCACCAACTACAAGAAATGAGTAACTTGGAAAGAAAGAAGATCAAGCTAATACAGAAGACACGGTTGCAAAGCCATTCACATTCAGTTTTAAGCAAATCAACATGGCCATCAGCAATCTGTGTGCAACATATGAATGCAAGATGCAGTAGACATGATCTTCCCACATTTACGTCAAGATTTCTCTAATTTCCATCTGGAACTGACAAAAGTAAAGGCAACGTCTATCAACGACTGAATAGTAACATTACTCCTAGGTGTAATGACTCGGGAGCAGGAAGGATATAAGGAAAAGGCAATGGGAAGATATAAGAGATGGGAGAAGAGGAAATGCAATAAATAGAGGAGATAGAGAAGGAGGGAGAGAGAGAGAAAAACAAAGAGAGTGAGTATATATATATATAGAGAGAGAGAGAGAGAGTAAGACTAAGAAGCACAATATAAAATCTAAAGATGAATATAATGATCCATAAAAAGATTTCTGGAATAATTCATCGTCTTCTACAATAATATCTTCCAAATCTCTTAGAACTTGCTTCAGTGCATATATCAGAACATTCTCCAGTTGATGCATTGACAACCTGAGAGGTGCAATGACAGCCATATTTTATTTTTATCTTGAGAGAGGTATCAAGAACTACTTCATAAAACTAACAAGAAAAAAGCAACAAAAGAACACAAAAAAAGGGACCAAAACAATCAGATACTGTATTAGGCATTTTCTCATCCAGGAATGAGAAGTTTTTAGTAAGTGTGCAGGAGAAGGAAACAAAGGCAACTTATGATCCACTACGTGCAACACTGCCATTAATTGACCCTGGATTTGAGCCCTTGCAAGAAATTTATAAGAAACACATATGTGCATGAACATGGACGGAGCCAGGGTTTCTGTGATTGCTGCGGTGGGCACGAGGCAAAATATGGAGAAATGTTACTACCACTAGCAAATCACATCCATACAAGCTTAATGTGAAAAAAGAAAGAAGGAAAGCTCAAGTAATAAATATAAACCAGAGATTAATTTTTTTCCACCTAAACCTGAGATTAAAAACATGATAATGCAAAGGTTTTAAAATATTAGGAGATCAAATTAGTTTTAAAAACATGATAATGCAAAGGCTTGATATTAGGAGATCAAATTAGTTTCAAGTCCTTCAACCAAAATTACTTTTATTTGCATCCAACACAGCATAAAGAAATGGAAGTAATAAAGAGAAAAAAAACAGCAAAATGATTTTTAAAATATAAAATGAAAGATCTAAAGCAAAATTGGACCAAAGTGATCATGAGCCTTAAGGGTGGCATAAATGTTTTAGCTAATTAAAATAATTATGCAAAGGATTATTTGACTACGTTTTCATAGTCTAGTGTACAATCATGTAACTCCTTGGTTTGTGCAGTTTATTTTTCTTGTCAATCAAGTTATAGCTTAGTCAATAGATTAAGGTTCTCTCTACCTTTGGGGATATTCAGTCTGCTCAATGCAAATATATCTTTACCCATAAGTACATATGTACGTTTCATCCACACACACACACATATATAGATACATATATATGTATATATATACACACACACACACATATATATATATATATCTTTACCCATAAGTACATATGTACGTTCATGCATACATGCATATATATAAAACGTGCGTGCACACACACACACACACACACAAAGTTCAGACCACTTATGCCAACTTCTGGACCGTAGAATAATAGCTGTAACTTTCAGAAAAAAGCTAGACAATCAAAAGCTAGTGAAACTAACTTTAACGAAATTGAACTCACCCTTTCTCACGGCAGGATGTAACTGCTTCCTGTAGCCAGGAGGCAACACAAGGGAAAGATCTTTTAAAGCTTTTGATTCTTTCAGCAGCTTCATCTGTACTACAATCTATTTGTTCTGCAAGGCTCTTAGCTCCCATTCCATAAAGAATGCCGTAGACCAACCTTTTAGTTTGATCTCGCTCCTCTTGACTCACAACAGACTCTGCTTTACCTGTCCATTTTGCAGCAATCATGGTGAAGACATCACCATGGGGTTCACTAAGCAGCTCGATCAATGAGGAATCTTTAGAGAAATGGGCCATCAATCTCAGTTCTATCTGGGAATAATCTGCTGTTAACAGTAACCAATTCTCCTGCAAGAGAATAGAATATTTGATTGAAACCATCCAAAAAGATACTTCACAGAAACTTAAGATTACCCAAGAGATACCTGAGTAGATACAAAAAAATCACGAGCATTGATCTTATAATTATTGACATCTAGCTGACCAACGGCTTTGTCCTCATTATTCATTCTGAAGTCAACCATATGTTCAACACACTATACGTATGGCAAAAAGATAATTAACCGCATAGATTATATTATCTTTGAGAGGATGATACATTAATAACAATGAAATAATGGAATAAAAAGGAACCTGAAGGTTAGGTTCCTCCATTGACAGTCGCCCTGTTGCTGTTGACGTCTGGAGCCAATGACCGTGCAGTGTGTACCTCTGTGTCCTCATAGATAGTCTAGCAAGTGAACAAATTGACCCCAATGTACAATTCAAGAGTTTTGCTAGGGTTCGGTGCTCTTTAATGACAGGAATTATTGGATGTTCATTCCTGAATAAAAGGAGGAAAACGTCAATATAAACTATCAGGAAGAAACCAGGGAATTTAGAACAGAGCATTGGGCATGCATATCATTTAATGATCAAAGCAAACAAGCAACAAATGGAACAAATGATGATCTAGAAAGCAAAAAATCTTAACTACTCGGCGGATTTGTTGAAAGGGCCACCAGCTTTAGCTTACAAGTTGGAGCAGCTGACACTTCTCATCTAACTACCAGATATCTGAGTACAACGTCACATATTGCTTGAACTGTTTGGGCTGTGCCATATGAATTGTCAATATTTATTCCAACACTTATAACTTTCTTTTAAAAGAAACTAGGGGTTCTCTAGCACTAGAGGTTCTCCAAATATACCAATCTCTAACAAACTAAAAGCTCCTAGCGAACACCAGACCTAATGTAAGTGTACCAACTTAACTAACTCTACATCCTAACTGGTTTGCTATCATATCTATGGAAATTTTGTTGTAGTCACAATAGGCAGCATAGACAAAGAGGAACATACAGCCATGGAATAAAAAGGGACATAGAAAACGGGTGCCAAATGAACCTGTCCGAGCTAATGGTTCTTTTTACTCTTTTGTTGGGGTGTGGGTCGACGGAATATGATTAGTCATAATATGCAGCATAGACAAAGAGGAAGATACAACTAACCATGGAAAGAACTAAATCAAATAGACGTAAAAACTAGTGGTGCGACAATGAATACAGCCCTAGCTAAAGGTACTCTTCACTTCTTCTGTTGGGGTGGGGGCTGCGGGATTGTTAAGGCAGCATGGACAAAGAGGATAACAAAACTAACTCTGGAAAATACTAAACAAAAATGACATAAAACCTTGTGGGTTAACAATGCAACTGGCCCTAGCTAAAGGCTCTTTCTTTTTACTTCTTTTGTTGGGATGAGGGATCAGAGGAAAAATGATCCTAGATCTAAGTTGTTCGGACTCGGGTACGGGCATTCAACACGAATCCGAGTTTCGGATTCGGCAAAATCTAAATTTTAAGATTCAGGGGTGCGGATCCAGGTATGGATACAGGTGCGAGGGATTCGGCTAAAAAATTCAAAATTATAAAAAATAGAGCTATAAGTCCGAACTCAGAATACGACCCCTTGAATTCTTGGTTTTTCTGGAACACAAAGCAGCAAATATGAGATAAAAGTACTACAATATTGAAGGTATGCCATTTCGCATGTCTTAAATCTGTTTTATTTTTAATTTTGAGAAATCAAAATCTCAATTTCCCCCCAAATTTGCCGATGGACTCAGGTCAAAGTATCCGAAGTTAGTTGACCGAATCCGGGACGTATCCCGCTCCCATCCCGTGTTGAGATGGGTGCGGCACAAAAAACGAAGAGTCCGCGCAACTTAGTCCTAGATAACCGCACAAAACATAATCATGCAGTAGGAGGTAAGAGTTGAGTGGCACCAAGTTTCAAGTGAAAAACAAGGTAACTGCTCGAGTAGGTACTGTATTGAGAAATATATCTTTCACTACCTTAGCAAATCCAAGCAATGCTTATCCGTACTAGGGTGCTGTTTTCCTTTTTTATGTCCTTCTGGAATAGGGAGCTGTAGATGCCCATAGAGTACATTCGCAATATCTGCTACTGTGTACAATGAAAAAGTCATGCCAGCCAACTTGTAAGCTTCTTTTTCCAGAATCTTCAGCTTTCTTCCCAGAATTTGTCGTGCATGCAGGCATCCTTCCATGTCAACACCTATTCCACAGAGCTCCATGTCTGCAAGAATATTGACCTACAAAATAAACACAGATATACTTCCAACATTGAGAATGACATGAATTTGACAAATAATAAAAATTTCCTGTGCAAAACATTTGAATCATTGTTCTCCAACCAGGAATGAAGGGATAGTAATCCTCTCTAGTATAAAAGCTTGAGACATTCAGAAATAGAAGCAGTTCCATTTTGCTTGAGAACCAGATCAGTTTTTGGTAGCATCTAAATTAGAAAAATAAATAAATAAATAAATAAATTACACTAAGCAAGGGATGAAGGTCAAAACATTATTAATAGTGAGATAGATCTTCTTCCAGGGAAAGATACTTCAGCTCATAGCTTATACTCTATTAAAAATTCCAAAACTGAAAAGATTTCTTTTTCTACAGAGGCATAGACATTGTTGTATTGATTAGACAATGAACAATAAATTTTACAAGTCTGCAATACCAAATCAACGGATGCTTTTTCAGTTCTTCATAAGGAAATAGGGGAAGGACAATTACTACTTTATAGCAAGCAAATTTCGTGATGCAACATCCTACAAGGTACAAAGGTATACGTATTTCCTTTCCTTTTCCCAACTGACATGTATTTGGCATTTTAGGCTCATGCCAGCTTGTTCTGCCTCACATAAAAAAAGAGAATAAGACTGATAGAATGACACATTATCTATGCCAATTTTCTTCTTAACTTGATTTCTTGATTAACAAAATTTTAGAATTCATCACACAATCCAATTTTTTTCCTCTGCTGTGCAAGCATTATATTGGAAAAGGCCAACTTTACTATGGACAATAATTTATCTATAGCAAAAATTCAATTCTGCCATAGCAACCAGAATAAAGTGGTACGAACTTGTGGTCAGAATCCCCTTTCCTCAGATCCTGGATGTGGCAGTAACGGATTAACTTGTTACAGGTAGACCCAGTTAAAGGTTGGATAACTTTGATCTCCCGATAGCAAGAGAGATAGAAAAAGCTTACACTTTCCTTATTTTACAGGATTTAATATCAACCTATCACAAATTAGATTGAAAGAAGAAATCCACCTTCACAATGATTTCTAGACGGGATTAAATATTGTATGGTTGCACAAGAAATGGATCGCATGCAAATATCTTTTTACCAATGGCATTTCAGTTGCTCCAAGTGCCTCAGCAAGTCCTTCAGAAATAACTAGTTTCCACAGAACAGAACACAAGGCTCTTATTTGTGCTACTCGACGACAACAACCATTATGAGCAACTTGTCGCATCTGATTCTTCCATCTACCATTTCGATTAGCGGCAGCAGCAGCTTCAATGGATAACCTTTTCTTCACTTCCTGCAGGAATAGGGTAACCTTAGAGGAAACATTTTAGACACTAATGCACTTATAATCATAATTTACTCAAGGGGCCACTCCGAATTACAGTAGTATCATTAGATATTGGACCTATAAGACAATGATCCAGCACAGGATGTTCCAGGACAATAAAAGGTTAGATTATCTAGTCAATGGACACTTTAGTGACAGCATTTCATAGACCTCACACGGGAAAAGAAAAAAAAACACTCTGCATAACAACCTATATGCGGACAAATGAAAATATGTTCGAGCTGATTACTAACGAGACAATAGAGTTACCTTTTCTATACTTGGGCTAGAACCTTTCTCCTCATCAGGCCAGAGGATCCAAGCTACTATACACAAGTCAATTGCATCTTGAACGGGAACAGGAGACAACAGAAAGCAATTGTTCTCAATAAGATCCACACCAACAGTCTTTACCAAATGACTCAAGCCACCAAATCTCTGAATTGAAACAGTAGGATGCTTGAGTACCTGAATCTGAACTTTTAAGTTCCATGTAAACTTTTTTATATCTTTTTTCCTCATTATGGTACTAATTCTATTCCATCGCTCTATTGCTATCTCCCACTGAAGCTTTGGTGGTAGAGCACTCCCAGTATCACCACAGGTAATGGGCGATGATTGGCTTTTCCTTCTGCTGTTGGACCAAAATAAGTCCCTCGGAAGATTCACATAATAGACGGGAGAGTCTTCCCAACAAATGGCTATGCCATATATTTCAAAAGGGGCAATGCTATTTAGTGCAGACTTTTTGCTGAAGTGGACATCAAAGTAGAACTCTCCAGCAGCTTCCCAGAGACCCAGGAAAGACTCAAATCCACCAGCAACAGCAGTAGCATTCATAGGACCCTTCTCTGATGCTTCTTTGACTCTTCCATTACATATCTCACCTCCTTCACATTGCAGTTTCCTGACATGATTATGATCGCCATAAGTACCACCTCCTTCAATGCCCTTAATTTTTAAAGTTGTTGGGGAAGTCTTTGCATTATCAATATGATGAGTAGTTTCATTAAGTTCACCACTAAGACCATTTGATCCTTCTATATGAAATGCCTCTTTGTCAGCAACTGTTTTCCTTTTTGAATTATCTCCGCCTGAATCAGAATTAGTAGCATTGACCTCCTTACTTCTTTCCAGGGATAATGTGCAAAGGACTTGATTCGCATTCTCCAGGCTAACAAAGCTACTAGTTGACCCTTCTGCAGAGGAGGTACTAGCTTCTTTGCGAGCATTATGTCCAGCAACAGTAGATACGACAGGCTGGGCAAGCGTTGGGACATCAAGTCCAAGCGACCTGAAAGCTGAGAATGCAGCAAGCCTTGCTTCCTCAGCTTTATCAAGAACAATCTTGCGTGCACCATTTTTTATCTTTTTTGCAACTCCTAATTGGATCCTCCGTTGTGCAGAACCTTCCATAGTTGATAAAGCAATTTTCCCAATTAGCAGACCAATAAATAAATCATTTAAAATGGCTATCCATGTATTAAATCACAGGAAAATTGATATGCATAATGAAAACCAGAAGGAATGCCGGTAGAAGGAATAAGGGGTTAGTTAAAATATGCATGCCATCAGAAGTACAATATATTGAAATGTGGTTTCTTGTTCAAATGGGAAGTGGAGACTCTAGTGTTGCCTCAAATGAATAAGAGAAAATTGGTCCAGCATACTGCAAGGAAACATGAACTGTAGAAGAAAGAAGCATACTGAAACAACAAGCCTGATGGTGACATTACATTTCTCAAACTTATGTTGCTTGTTACAAAATCCTGTAAACCTTACAGAACCATATGAAAAGTGAGTCATAAGCATCAAAGTTTATTATTTCCACATTACTTCTCAAACGTAGGGATGTCAAAACCAGATAGACCACTCCACGGAAAAATGCAAACAAAGTAATGGTCTCCCATCCAGCACGTGAAGCATTCTAATAAGAGTAAGTAACAGACCATCAATGTGGGACCAAATCATCAAAACCTCACCTTGATCAGCCCATGATGAAGACTCAAAAAGTACTTTGACAATCTCAGGAATTGATGCTTCAGCAATTGCTTCAGGTGTCCGAAAACCAGCTTTATACAGTGCTCGAGCTCGGGAACCCTGATGAATTCTAATTAGTTTAAAGAACTTGACCAAAATATATAGAAAACATAAAGGGAGGAGAAATTCAATTACCTTAATATACGGAATGTTGGTGAGCTCTACAATCTCTGCCCTCACTCCAAATGAGACACGATTTTGGAACTTTGATACTAAGCCTTCAAGGTCATGCCAACCAAGCCTCTCACAGAAGACAGAAACCATGGAAGCAAACCTTCCAGCATTTTCTTGTAAGGCTTGAACCATGCCCCTTGCGACCTTAAACGCATCACAAACCTCGACAACTGGCACTTCCTTCATCCCATAATGAGACACTTGGAATTAGGAAGACTATGAAAAGACTACTTCTTAAGCAACAACAAATAAGAGACAATTCAGTGAGAGACAAGCATTGCAATAGCAATCAGATGTAGAAACAAAAGCTGATAAATATCCATTTGAACCCGGAAACATAAAAGGAGGAGATGCATACACGAAAAGAAATAATATATCAACAATTAGCTAAAGAAAAAAGTGTTGAAGGAGTAAAATGATGCAAATCGTCGAGTAAAAGAAATTATATATATA